CTACTGTCGAATATGTGTTGAAAGTCTTATTAAGGTACATTTCTGGAGTATATCTGCTTAAAATATTGCTAAAAATCATACAGAGTGACTGACTTGGAGAAGATGAAATGGCGACTGAAATGTGGTCAAAACCATACTTTGTCGTTGGTTTATCTTAGGAAACAAGACTCTCTGGTGCCTGTTCTTATAGCCATGTAAATTGGATGCTATTGTACTTTTAAAGTTATGACAACATTTTGTTTTGAAATCGCTTGCAATTAAAGCGGCAAGATGCACACAGCCTTTATGCGATAATTGTTAAATAATTGTTATAATATCTAATTCCGGGATCTAATTAAAGTATTAAAAAGAGCAAAGCTATGGTTAACATACCTCTCATGATATTTTATGCAGTTAATCATATCGGCAAGGAAAATAAACAACGGATCTTACCTTGTTTTGCTGTTTTCTCTTTTCTCTCAGAGATACTAATCAACCATCGACTCACAATACAAGTGGCTACAAATATTATTTTCTCCACAGTTCCATAAATCTATTGTCCAATGGCTTCTAAAGTATTCAAATCAGTTCCTGTTGATGACTCAAGATGACTTTACAATCATTTAAGTGTAAAACCACAATTTATTTTGACGAATCGGCCGAATTTGTTTTTCAAAACGAACTGGATTTATTAAGAATAGGAGACTATCAATAGAACATGGTCCTTGAATCGAATTTCATCGATCAAAAGACTTGAAATTTTCCGTTATTTAACTTCTCGTTGCTAGCTGTAAGTGCCGAAGGCGCTATTTAGTAATTCAAAATACAATAAATGTATAATACGCTATTGTGTATTTCATATGATTTAATTTGAAAACCACTCCTGCTCGTTTTTTAAACACTACTTGACAACTACCACTGCCAATAATGGTCCGGTTTTATCAGATGTGCATCCTCCCGGTAAAAGTTCTGTTTACACGGCCCTGAAGAGTGTTAACCAAATAGATCCCTTGCATATGACGTCAATGCAACTTCATCTGGAGAAACGATGCCCTATTGGCAACTAGAATCCATTGTTTTGTTTTGGGGTTGTATTGCAAAGGGGTCTTTGGCGATACTCAATGCCTTATCAACAAACTCATTCTTATGTTAACGTGTAAACCATGATCAGGATGGCTTTTCAAGCTTTGTTCTAACAGCCAACCGCCGTCTTCTGGTTGTCACACGAATAACAAAGCCTTACGTCACATTGAGTATCGGTATAGGTCACAAACGATGCAATACTCCAGTTTCGAATTCTCTTTTGTGCACGCTTAGCTTCAATCAAGCATAAATGATTTTTTTGTCTTCTTTGTAGAGAGAGTGTTTGCATTACTAACTATAGATTCTCTGCTGAATAAAAGGATATATTACATGCTTTCGAAGTTAAGGCTGCATAAATACGTTCTCGAAACTGAGTATTACAGTGAACCAGGTATCCGCTCTTCACCGTGATAGCTTCGATGATACTTTTTCTAAGTCGATAATGAATCTTCTTTAACTTGCTCTATTCTAATTGTATCATTCCTATGAAAACAATCAGTATGTAATATTTACAATATAAGCGGGCGATCTGTATGATTTAAAACAGCGAGCTGTAACGCTATGAAACGTTGAGGTAAACTAGCTCAGGTTTTAAAGAAACTTTAAAAAAAAATTCAATCTGATCGAGAAAGTCAGAGTTAAACGTTTATGCAAATGAACAAATCTGTATTAAATATACAACTCTCTTCATGGGCTATGGTTTCTGTTGTGTTTTGCATTATGAATATTAATGAATTTTATAATATCAATAGGACTTTTGCAGCTAGGGGTCACGTGACCACACCTACCTTAAATCAATCGGCTATCACAAAATGATGTTCAGAAATGGAAAGAGGGGATCAAAATACTAAAGTAAGATGACAAAGTTTCAAGTCTCAACTCTAAAAACTTCAAAAATGACAGCAAATACAAAAATCCTTTTTTTTTCTAAAGAAACATATGCAAAAACAGAACTGGAGAGCAAGCCTTGCTCTCCAGCTCTATTTTCCCATACRTTTCTTTAGAAAAATCAATATTTTACATTTGCTGTCATTTTTTAAGTATTTAGAGTTGAGACTTGAGACTTTGCCATTTTACCAACATAAACCTGCTCTGTCCATTTCTGAACATCATTTTTTGATAACTGATTGATTTAAGGTAGGTGTGGTCACGTGACCCCCAGCTGCAAAGGGCCTATTAAAAACAGAAAAATCGACCTTTCAATTTCATGTGACGAACGGCAAAGAGTAAATAATGTAATCATTCTTTTGTCTATTTATGGTGCTTGAGTCAGGCTCGTGACAACTTTCGTGACCTTCCGGCTTATCATAAATATCGTTCGGGGAATTCCTAACTTCACTGCAGATATTCCGCAAGAGGAACATTGATATTTGCTGATTTCAATAGCTATCAATTCGAGCTAATATTTTCCCTTTCATTTTAATCCTATAA